CCTAGTAGCTATTTAGCATAATCAGTACTTTGAGTTTTGGTACTTTAAGTATATTTTGATGCTAATCCTTNTACTTAAATATATTGAACTTCACCTGACATACTGTATTACTAGTATCTTTGCAGAATCATATTAAATTGAATTATTATGTATTATTATAGATTGAGATACATCGAAGTTAAACTCCACTCCACCTTTACCAGATGCCAAATTAAAATGAGGAAATATTGAAAATAATATATTGCTATTTATCATAATCAGTACTTTGAGTTTTGGTACTTTAAGTATATTTTGATGCTAATCCTTTTGTACTTTTACTTGGATAAAAAAGTGTTACTTGCAAATGAGTATTTCTACACTGTTGTATTACAACTTTTACTTATGTAAACAATTAGAGTATTTCTTCCAACACTGCTTTAGGAAAGTCCCCACAATGTGAGTGTGTAATCAGAGTTACGTCCCCACATTGCCCTCAAAACAAAACACACCAACACACACACACAAACTGAAAAGTTATTCGAGATGAGATATAATTTTCTGTCGGTGCTGTATTGACTGGACCACACAATACAGCTGGATAACACCGATACAAGTCTAATAATGTGCAGGGTACACACACACACACACACACACACACACACACACACACTATCAGCCTGTGTATCGGGGTCATGTTGTTGTAGCTCTTAGCAGCAGTAACTTAATCCACATGTTGAACATGGCGGCTCATTGGAGGCCAAGAGGCGTCGGAGCAGAACGCTGCAGTGTAATGAGGCTATGTTAGACATGGGGGGGGGCAATTCTTTGGGTTGATAACACACACCTCAACTGGACTGGGGAGGTAGTTGTGTATCATTACAGCCTATGGATATTACTCACAATCATGAGTTCATTATGAAGTGGCTTAAACGTTTCTAGAGCCACTTCCAACATACGGGGGTGTGAATTCAACGCACAAATAATCCAGAACGATAATCCATTCGGTCAAGATTGGTCGAGTGTGTGTGGTTGAACTGGTTGAGCTTCTTCCCCGTCTAAAACCAACACCTTCCTCATAAACAGAGGTAATATAGCATATAGGAGACCAAGGGGTGTCAACAGGGGGCGTAAAAAACTAAATTGAGTAGATACATATTCAACAAATAGTATCTGTAGGCCATGTATACTAATAAAACAAGACATGTTAAACAATAAAAAAATAAAATAAACGTATATAATAAACTCAGTTAAAGGGCTCCTACACGTTATATAATATGTTCAATCTGCTAAAGATGTCACTAAGTTCCTGAAATCAACAAAGAAGTCCAATAGAGGCTTTGCAGACCATTTACATGAACCAAAACCTAGAAGGCACTAGGGGAAATGGCACACAAAACTAAAGAGGGCCCCTTTAAAAAACAAAAGTGTTGGAGAGTTTTCATCCAAAAAGAAGATCATGCTTCATTTCATTTGAGTATATTTATATAACTGTGTGAAATATGCCGTCGGAGAACTTTCGATGGGGTCGGTGGTCACCAGAAATAACTGTGTATTGCTCACTGTGATAGATTTACGACATCATTTCAGCAGTTGATGAGGATGAGACACATTTCTTCCACAAATCAAACCTCCTCGGTGAGATGTGCGCTGCGTGTTTCGCTGCAGAGATTCATTAACATCATCAAACCCAAAGCCCGCCATCTCAGGCTCTAATTACTCGATCTAAACTGTCATTCATAATTGAAACCATAACTAATGGCCTCGCTAATAGGCTTTCTAAAATAAGTCCTGCAGCCTAAATGCCGTCAGAATAGCTGATGTGGAAGGCGGTGCTATTAGAGAGCGGGACAAGGGGGAGTTTTATACCACCATTCATATAATTACCACATTAACCCGGAGATTTATTCGTCTGAATTAAAACAGGAAGCTATTTAAAAGCGGGGGTATTCTAGGAACCCTTCATTAGTCTTTCCAGCATGTGGAGGTATTTAAAGCGCCATCAGACAGACTCTGAGATTTAAAGTTCGCTGTAGGGAATCAAACAGTGACCTACCTGGCTATGCCCTCCAAGTGATCCTTCCTGCAGGTGGGGAGAGGGGAAATTAAAAAAGTTAACAACCGAGGACTGATCAAAGCTGAAATATCCTTAAACAATCATAAAATACACATATTTATATTTTTGAATTCATATTTAAGCAAAAAACGGTCTTAAAGTCACATTTTTAAAGCTTTTTGCACAAAGTTTCAAGACGATACAAATAATTTATAGTCCGATTGGATGACTACAGTTTATATTCAGATACAATGCCAATATGCTTTTAATACATTGTTATGATAGTTTAATTAATAGAGCTTCCTATAGTTTGACCTACAGTCCTATAGTAGATTTAGAGGTGGAGCAGCTCTCACCTTAAAGCGGTCGACAAACACTTTAGAAGAGGAACAACCCCCCAAAAAAGTTTTAGACCACCCCTACCAAAACTATTTCTATGAGCGATACCCCTACCCCGGGTTAAAACTACTTTCATGAGAAAGTAATAATCTCTGGTTCATACAAATAAAATGTTTGAGTAATTAGACTCAGAAAAGTAGAAGCATTCCTTTTGGATTCTTAATTTCCCATTTCCTTTTCGCCTATCATTCATGTGTTTGAGTGTTAATATTACAAAGGTGGTAAAAGGTATTGATATGATAGTTGCTGTATTGTATGAACTCTGTGAACATCCAGTCCAAGTTTGGTGACATGCTGATTATTATTTCCAGAGATACTGTACATGGGGTAAGGCCAACACGGCCCCATTCAGAGCAGCCTACATTTTCACTATTTTCGGTTATGGGAACGTTGCAAACATCAACCAAAAATCGTAGCTCAATTTTTAGGGGGCCTAAAAGTTCCTCTTCTTACCACTTGAACCATGTGGCATATCAATCATGTCAAACAGTCATAATCACACGTTTTTTACATTGAACACATGTTTCTACTTGCCTCAAAAATAAATAAAAACGTTCCAGCTGTTGCCAATAGAAGTTTAAAACAAGTGAAGCTCTGTCTATTTGCTGGGAACATTTACAACCATAAATGTCTACAGTACGTATGTCATGTCCTTTTTAACGTGACTTTAAAGTTGGTGTTACTTGCCTGAAACAGGGGAGAGAGATAATCGTTTCGTAGAATCTCCACGTGGCAATAAGGTCGTCCCTGATTGGATTGGTGGAATAGTATCGCCAGGCAGACTTCAGATAGGACGACAGAACACAGCAGTTTTAATATGAACAGTCTGGTTCAGTTAGATGTGTTTTCAGACTCTCACCTGGATGAGCCCGGCGGCCGGCTGTCGTCTCTTCTCAAAGTGTTTCTGCCTGTGCTGCTCCTGCACCTTCAGAGCCAGACCTGACCCCAGGATGCCCTGCACACACAGAACACCATCAGGTACCCCTCTTTAAAAAAGAAATACCCATGGACCCAACATAAGCTTCCTATGGTTTGGTCACGTTAGGTTTAAGGTGTCAGATCCCACTGCATAGGGCAACATACACCAGGTCTTAGATGATCCACAAGACAAAGTCATGAACCTAGAAAAGAGGTGCAGGTGTGTGGGCTTACATCGTGAGGCTTTTACAAACAGAAGATTTCTTCTTATTAAAGAAGATACAAAGTCTTCATTTGTTATCTAACATTTTGGTTTGCTGTCCCTCGTGATCACTTGGGCTGTTTTTGTTTGACCCTAACCTGGAGGTTTTACCTGTTTCCAACTTACTGGTTAACAATCTCAACACGGAATCAAGAACGATATAACAGCTACTCGCCAAATATGCAATATTAAATAAAATACATGTGGATTAAGGTTAAATTTAACATGTTTGTTTAATAAGGAAATAAATATTCTGTAAATTGTGCTGATAAAACAATCAACAGGACTGATCTTATAAAGTGTAATTCATCAATCACATATTCTTAGCAAATAAACTAGAAGAGATTAACTATCAGCAGCAGTGTGTGTTAGATTAACCATCAGCAGCAGTGTGTGTTAGATTAACTATCAGCAGCAGGGTGTGTTAGATTAACCATCAGCAGCAGTGTGTGTTAGATTAACCATCAACAGTGTGTGTTAGATTAACCATCAGCAGCAGTGTGTGTTAGATTAACCATCAGCACAGTGTGTGTTAGATTAACCATCAGCAGCAGTGTGTGTTAGATTAACCATCAGCAGCAGTGTGTGTTAGATTAACCATCAGCAGCAGTGTGTGTTAGATTAACCATCAGCAGCAATGTGTGTTGGATTAACCATCAGCAGCAGGGTGTGTTAGATTAACCATCAGCAGGGTGTGTTAGATTAACCATCAGCAGCAGTGTGTGTTAGATTAACCATCAGCAGCAGTGTGTGTTAGATTAACCATCAGCAGCAGTGTGTGTTAGAGTGTGTGTTAGATTAACCATCAGCAGCAATGTGTGTTGGATTAACTATCAGCAGCAGTGTGTGTTAGATTAACCATCAGCAGCAGTGTGTGTTAGATTAACCATCAGCAGCAGTGTGTGTTAGATTAACCATCAGCAGCAGTGTGTGTTAGATTAACCATCAGCAGCAGTGTGTGTTAGATTAACCATCAGCAGCAGTGTGTGTTGGATTAACCATCAGCAGCAGTGTGTGTTAGATTAACCATCAGCAGCAGTGTGTGTTAGATTAACCATCAGCAGCAGTGTGTGTTAGATTAACCATCAGCAGCAGTGTGTGTTAGATTAACCATCAGCAGCAGTGTGTGTTAGATTAACCACTGCGGTTATTAATGTGTGTTCTACAGCAGAGTGTACCCACTGCAGGCAGAGCGAAGAAGGAAACTCCGATCAGAGCGAAGGTTCCCGCCAACAGTCGGCCCGCCCACGTCTTCGGGGTTTTATCCCCGTAACCGATGGTGGTCAGCGTGATCTGCAAAAGTGTTAGAAAAATATGTATATATGTATATTCCATGTATTTGTGATCCTCTCCAGAATGGAAGTAGTCCTCACATACAGAGCATCAACTATACCGGAATACCGGTTCTTCTAGGTTATCATACATGATGACGTTATCATGTCATGAACTAAATACTGAGCTTTTTCTCAAAATTTTGGCTTTTTTCTGAAAATCAAAAAATTCTGACTTTTTCTCAAAAATCACAACATTCTGGCTTTTTCTCCAAAATCTGACTTGTTCTGAAAAATCAGATTTTTTCTAAAAATTTAGATTTTTTTCAAAAAAAGGGAAGATTTATTCTCAAAATTCAGATTTTCTTTCCTCAAAATTCAGATTTTCTTTCCTCAAAATTCAGATTTTTTCTCAAAATTCTTACTTTGTAAAAAATCTCAAAATTCTGACTTTTTCTCAAAAATCTCAAAATTCTGACTTTCTCAAAAATTCTAACTTTTTTTAAAAATCGAAAAAATTCTAACTTTTTCTAAAAGTCGCAAAAATTCTAACTTTTTCTAAAAGTCGCAAAAATTCTGACTTTTTCTCAAAATCTACAAAAGATTTTCTAATTCAATTTTTTGTTTTCT